CCTCATCTGTCACCACACACATAATTGTAAAAAGAAATTATTTGAACATCTCTCCAGTAGTCAAAATAACAGTTATATTCACCATTACAAACTGAGCATGCAGAATTTAAAATCCAAAGGGGATATACAGTACATAATCCTAAAAATAAAAACTTGCATGGCAGTTTATCTATTACCTTTTATAAGAACCCCCATAGGAGGCAATTCAATCTTGTGTGTGACAAGTGCCATTAATGGAATTTTGAGAAATATTTCTATGGCTATGCTTACAGATTAAGGATGAGCCGAGTATTCAGTAGTATAAACACATAGGTATAAAAACAAGTTCAGACTGAATACCCGCTGTTTGGAATTTTGTGTCTTCGAATGTGACAGCTCCGTTCCATCAATGGTTGCTAATGAAGCAGCAGGTGCTTGAACCCGCAGCATCCTTACCAACCACTGACATCACTCAGCCCTTTCACCTGGCTCCTCAGTCACTTAGAAGCAGGGATAGGGTAAGGAGTACCCTATTTTTTTGGGTGGGGTACCCCAATAACATCTATACCAGACCCTCATCTAGGATAAGGTTTTGTAAAGATGAAGGAAACCTTCATTATTTACAAACAGAACAAAGCGGCCAGGAACTGTCATTTTGCCAGTAATTTAGTCTCGGTTCACACTACTGCGACCTGAAAGACTCACAGTGCTACTGTGCCAGGCGACTTGAGTACTACTTTGAAGCAACTTTCAGGGAATGCCTGGGTAATCTTCCTGTAATGTTGGATGCAAATCACATCACTATAGATAAGGATCTGACTTGGAGGCGACTTCCATTAAAGTCTATGGGCACAAGTTGGATAGAAGTCGCCTTGAAGTAGTGCAGGAACCTTTTCTAAAGTCGGAGCGACTTCAGTAGTGCTAACTAAGACAGCTCTCATAGACTAACATGGGATTTCATATGGCAGGCAACTTGGGGTGTCACAAGTCGGATACCAACCAAGCCAAGTCGTGTCAGTGTTTCAGTAGTTTGTGTGAACCACAGCCTTCTCCAAAGTACATTATATTTTTATTTAAATGTCATGTGTTTACAACATCTGTAGGCCGAAATTGTTTGTATTTTTCCTGAAAACAATGTTTCACAGATGCCTCACTTCTCATACACATGGTAGGGGAAACAAATAATAAAACAGAGGCGAGGGCTTCTCCAGGCATGTTATGTACCGTTCTGCTTTTGCATTTCTGGTTAATATCCATTTGAATTATTTCAATAGAGTATAAAGACTCCGATGTTTGATTTACAACATAATGTACCAACATCCTAATACAAATTATAGCATAAGTGCATCAAAATTAAGAAAATGTGGGCCTTTGGGGTACATATAGACTACACAAACATCAATAATAATATAAACTTGTTTTAAAAGCTCCTTCATGGATTTTCCTTAGTTGACCTTTTTGTTAACCACCAAGCAAAGAAAGCAGGGGTGAGACGGAGAAGGGATTTTGAACTCACCACACTCCACCAGGTGAATTAAATTTTCTCAATGCATTTCATGAACCAAAGTCCACTTCATCAGGAGAAAGTAATGTAAAAATCAGCAGATAGTTAAAACGAAAAACTATGAGGACCGGGACATTGCCAGAAGCCTGATCCCTTGGGGACCATGGAGAAGAAGGGCCACAGGAGGAAGAGAAAAGAGTCCTAATGTGCCATATATCCTTAACAATGCCAAAGTCTATAAAGCTCACATCACTCATCTAAAGGAACCATATCAGTTGGCTACCAATATCCATAAGGTCATTGTGGATTGCAGCATTTCCAAAAGCTCAATGAATCCAGAGCATCCCAGACACCCAGCTATTTAAAAATTCCATGTCTCAGCTATTGAAAAAGTTGGGGTAATACTCCATCAACAGAGCCACTGAAAAGCCAACTCAATGGAAAGGATCATTTCATGGATTTCAGTCAATGTTTGTGTAGTCTATATGTACCCAAAAGTACTACACATTTATTTGAAAGTACCTTGTGTTCAGATTGGGATATATAAAACAATGGAGTTGAGCACAATGCCAGATCAGTGCCAGATTTATAAGGGGGTAAAATGGGCAATTCCTCCAGACCCCCCTGCCAGACGGGGCCCCAGACTTCCTTTATGAAAAAAAAAATAGCTATACCATTAGTTTTATTATTAAAAAGGTGTGTGTGGGTGTCAGCATACGGAACAGTGTGTGGGTGTCAGCATATGGAGTTTGCAGCCATTGCCAAGCTCCAGTCATATCTCACTCCGTCTCAAAAGGCAGTTTTATTACATGATGAAGGACTTGCTGATACCTGTCCAGGTGCTAATGTAGCTCTTAGAATATTCTGTATTTGAGCATGATGATCACTAGTAGCTCGGGAAAAAGGTTGTTCAGCAGATTGGCACTGATAAAGAATTAGCTGAGAACCATGATGACCCATGAAAGACTAAGTGCTCTGTGCCTACTGGCTATCAAGAGCAGTATCCTCTAGATGATACAGTTTGATGGGTTAGTCAAAGATTTTGCAGATCCTAAGAGCAGTCTTTGGAAGCTAACATAGCTTTTTTCAGAACAAAAGTGTTTTATCATTCATTTCAGGTGACTTTTTTATTTGTCATATAATTTAATTTCTACGTTAAGGAGCCCCTAAAATTTTAAGTACCCAGCCCCCCCCCCCCCCAGGTGTAAATCCAGCACTGTCCCCGATCTCATTGTATTAAATTGTTTTTGCACAACTTGTGACTGTACGAGACATTTGTGATATACAGTATAAGTTGCCTTTTAAGACTATCCTGGCAGTGCATTCTAACCTCCGTAGAAAGGCAATTCAATTGTACATTAGGCTATTTGCCATAGATGTACTTCTTACATTCCACAAATTACTGTTTGCAGCTTTTATTAGGTGTATAAAACACAGAGGACTGCTCTCTTAAGTGGTGTTTTTTCATGCGAGTTGGATATTTTTATACAACAATCATGCTGACATATGTGTGATGCGTGTTATTTTTCATGATTTGAAGTAAATAGCTGCATGAGCAACACTCTTTGCTCTTGGGAATTATCTGTCACGAGTACTTTGAAATTTACTATCGGAGACAATCTACAATCCAGTAGTCTAAAATTATATGAGATGGTTACTATCCAGGATCTTACAATTTATGGCTTCTGAATATTCAGTATTCAATCTCTGTAGAGATGTTTTCAAACTATTTTTTATTACACTTCCCGGCACGGTAACAAGTTAGAATAAAAGCATTCTAAGGCACCAAGCATAATGCTCTGAAGTAGACCTTGCAGGCCCAGCCTATGATCATACCACTATATTGTCTATATGGCGTTATCGCAGCAATATTCTTGACCAACAGTTTGCAAGCATTTTCATCATAACTTTGTGGGTTTGCACTTTTATTTTATGTTTGTACTATATGAGCTGGAGAAACAATAATAAATGACTATTTTAACTTTATTATGCAATCATTACTACATTCAATCTCTAGTTCATTTTTCCTATATTGAAGCTTCCAATACTGTCATCTGATGACATAGTGAATGGTGAGGTTGACTGCTTTATCAGATCTCTACTGATAGATTTTTTATTGCTGTCGCAGTCCCTGTTGCATACTGCTCCTCACATCCTGTCTGGTGAAAAACCATTGTCACTAGAACAAAAAAAAGTGAGGTAAACTCTCTCTTAAAGAATCCTGTATAGCAGTATAAACTCTATATCCTACCCCACTCTAAAGAGAAATGTTTTTATTGGATAAACTGTACACCTGTCAAATGAGGTCTCTTGTTAATATGTTAACAATTTAGTAGCATCCTTTAAAAAGTTAGCATGCATATAAATTATTAGCCCCTATAAAACAGACCCATTAGCTGAAATCAAACAATCTACACCCTTGGGTGCTTTAGGGAGATTTTAATAATGTGGTGTATTTAAGGCCTTACCACCCTCAATTTACCTAGGTATTTAAAGTTATTTCAACTTTTTCAGTCAAATTTTGGCAAAGTTTACTATATGTACTGTATGTTATGTGTTTCCATTCACATAGCAAAAAAAACCCCAACAACAACTAAAAAGATCTGCCTACATGGCAAGCACAGCCCCAGTCCCTCATAAACAAAGCAAAATAGTATGATTTTACATTACTGGTGTTTTTAAAAAGAACATCACAAAAAGGTAAGTTTCAATTTTAAAATATTTTTTTTTTTTTGTTATTATGCTTTGTAAATGAGAAACCGTAACGTAATAAAGTTGGTGTTATCCCAGTCTGGCTGCAAAAGTGGTAATACGCTTTAAACTTTGATTACACGCCCAAGTGAGGACTGTACGGGGTTGATGTGTATCACACAAAATCCTACAAAAATAACAAGGCATTTTTTTTCTTCTTCTGTTCCTTAAAACCATCTCTGTCCTCAATCAGGATCCCAGAGTCAATAATTCAGCACATACATTATATTGCCAAAGGGACGCCTGCCTTTACACGCACATGAACTTTAATGGCATCCCAGTCTTAGTCCGTAGGGTTCAATATTGAGTTGGCAAACTCTTTGCAGCTATAACAACTTCAACTCTTCTGGGAAGGCTGTCCACAAGGTTTAGGAGTGTGTCTATGGAAATGTGTGACCATTCTTCCACAAGCACATTTGTGAGGTCAGGCACTGATGTTGGAGGAGAAGGCCTGGCTCGCAGTCTATGCTCTAATTCATACCAAAGGTGTTCTATCGGGTTGAGGTCAGGACTCTGTGTAGGCCAGTCAAGTTCCTCCACCCCAAACTTGCTCATCCATGCCTTTATGGACCTTGCTTTGTGCACTGGAGCTCAGTCATGTTGGAACAGGAAGGGGCCCTCCCCAAACTGTTCACACAAAGTTGGATCATTAAATTGTACAAAATGTCTTGGTATGCTGACATCTTAAAAGTTCTCTTCACTGGAACTAAGGGTCCAAGCTCAACCCCTGAAGAAAAACAACCCCACACCATAATTCCCCCTCCACCAAAACACATAGCACAATGCAGTTGGGCAAGTACCATTCTCCTGGAAACCGCCAAGCCCAGACAGATCCATCGGATTGCCATACAGAGAAGTGTGATTTGTCACTCCAGAGAATATGTCTCCACTGCTCTAGAGTCCAGTGGTGGTGTGCTTTACACCACTGCATCTGATGCTTTGCATTGCACTTGGTGATGTAAGGCTTGGATGCAGCTGCTCCGCCATGGAAACACATTCCATGAAGCTCTCTGTGTACTATTGTGCTAATCTGAAGGCCACACGAAGTTTGGAGGTCTTTAGCTATTGACTCTGCAGACAGTTGGTGACATCTGCGCACTGTGCGCTTCAGCATGCACTGACCCCGCTGTCATTTTAAGTGGCTTATCACTTCATGGCTGAGTTTCTATTGTTCCCAGTTACTTCCACTTTCTTATAATACCACAAAAATTTGACGGTGGAATATTTAGTAGCAAGGAAATTTCATGGATGGACTTATTGCACAGGTGGCAACCTATCACGAAACTGACGTCATGGGTCCCGGGAGGAAGCAGTAATCAGCTACCGGGAATCAGACTGAACTGCAAGCATTCCAGTTGGCACAACAATGCGTTTCATGAGCATGCAGTTTGTCAAGTCCTGGATAATTGTGGCAACTGGCTATCTTTTATAAAGTGGCTGATCTAATGGGCAGGCAAGGGGGTGGTACTTAATGGTGATATTCCACCATTGCCATTATGACAGATTCTTCAACAAACACACACACACACATATATATATATATATATATATATATATATATACATTCGGTTTTACATGCTTTGTTTTAATATATGACCTTGCATACACTAATTTATTTATTCACAAAGATTTAACCTATTATTTAGTTAATTAATTAATTAATTATTTGGTATTTTAATTTGTATAAGGTTGTTTGTTGAAGGATCTGTCATAATGGCAATGGTGAAATATCAAGCACCGCCCCCTTGTCTGCTCATTAGATCGGCCACTTTATAAAAGATAGCCAGTTGCCACAGTTGTCTAGGACTTGAGAAAGCGCATGCTCGTGAAACGTGTTGTCGTGGCAACTGGAACACTTGCGTTTCAGCCTGATTCCCAGTGAACGATTTCCGCTTCCTCCCAGGATCCGTGACGTCAGTTCCGGTACGCCACAGTCACTGTTCCTGTCAGCCTGCTTCTACCTGTCAAAGGATTAGCTCTGCACACATCTCCATTCCTGGTTCATGGTTCTCGTGCAACCAAAGTGAGCAGATATTCCACCATAGCCACAAATTGGGCAATTGACACTACTGGTTTGATATTGGATGACAAAACTGCTCTTTTTATTATACTGGAATATATTTATTATATTTTATTTTCTTAATATGATTACCAATTGCTTAGTCATTCTATAACAAACCTATGCCCTTGAGCGCTGTTTCTTTGGACCTCTTTCAACCTATCACGGTACCACGCTAGATACCACTGAGCGCCTGAGAGTGACCCATTTGTTCACAAATGTTTGTAGAAGCAGTGTGCATGCCTAGGTGCTTGATTTTATACACCTGTGGCCATGGAGGTGATTGGAATACCTGAATCCAATGATTTGGAGGGGTATGTTTGTAAGCTTTGTGTCCTATCCCCTTCTCCCTTTTTTTTTGTTTCCGCTAATTTTATTGTTATACCAGGATTTTGGTTATGTGGATCCCCGCCTCCCGCAGGCTCCTTGGTTTTTTTTTTCCGGGGGGGGTTATTGTACCTCTTTATATAAATACCGGAGGCCTTCCTGGCTCATGGTTCTATGCCTTACCTAACGGGGCCGTGACCCGGGAATGCCTCCTTTCTATTATTTGGTGGGAAATGCATCTTACGTCGCGGGAATACACTTTATTCGGCCCCACACTTGAGCTTTTGTAGAATAGATCACGTTTTCATTACCTTCCAACATTTATTTTTAATTCAAAAGATTGTAATCTTGATCTCGCCCTGGTCTGATCATGACCCGTTGGTCTTTTCACTGTGTCTTTCCGGTATGGCTCGGCCCTCTTTTCTGTGGAGACTCAATGAATCCCTGCTCACCACTCAGGCTTCTTGCTCCCAGATTCTTTTGCACATTCAGTCCTATTTTTACGGACAATGTGGGTTCTGAATCCTCGGCCGTCTCTCTGTGGGAGGCTCACAAAGCTACCATTAGGGGTCATTTGATTCAGATCGCCTCGTCCAGGAAATGGGCCAGAGAGAAGAGGATGTTGGAATTGACCTTGAGATTGGCCGTGGTGGACGCTACTTGGAAAGCCTGCCCGACTATGGCCAATAGGAAAGCTTAAGATGTGGTGGCTGCTGAACTTGATCTTCTCTCCATTACACGAGCTGAGAAGGCCTTGCGTTGGGCCGGACATAGGTTTTATACATGCGCCAATAAACTTGGGCCAATGTTGGCCAAGAAACTTAATTTGCTTGGTCACACACATAAACCTGTTCAACTCCAAATGAGGGGCGGTGGCCTTACCTTGGACCCTGTGAAGATTACTCATAAATTTGCAGATTTTTTGTCTTCTCTTTACCAAAAACCGAACCCCTTTGTCGCTGAACATGCTGATAGTTTTTTCGCTGAGCTGCACCTACCCTCTTTGTCTATTTCAGCCCGAGAGTCCCTGAATGCGGATATCTCTGAATCTGAACTCTACCAAGCCATCAAATCTTTGAAGGCCTCCAAGGCTGCAGGCCCAGATGGGTTTTCTGGGCTCTACTATAAAAAATTTGCCACCGTTCTGATTCCACATTTTACGGCCTTTTTCAATTCTTTAAAGCAGGGTTCCCGGCTTTCTTTAGAGTCTCTTCAGGCACATAATACTATGATCCCTAAGAAAACTGACGATGCTTTTGAACGGCCAGCTTTCTGACTGATCTTGCTGCTAAATGTGGACTTGAAGATTCTGAGCACTCGAATTAATAAGTATCTACTCTCACTTATTCATCGAGATCAGGTTGGCTTCGTTTCAGGGCGACAAGCTGCTGAATACATTCGTAAAGTCATCCATCTCATTCATATTTTACATTGCCGCAGGATACCAAGGTTCCTTTTATCCCTGGACATTTAGAAAGCGTTTGATTCACTTTCTTGGGAATATTTGACATATACGCTGTCTAGATGGGGGTTTGGTGACGCATTTCTGGCTTGGATCTCCGCTTTATATTCATCTCCATTGGCCTCAGTTAAATATGCAGGTTTTTTTTCCTCATCCTTCCCTATTTTCAGGGGCACGAGACAGGGATGCCCATTATCACCTGCTCTTTTTGTTCTCGCTCTTGAACCTTTAGCTGCAGCCATTCGAAATCACCCAGATATTTCTGGTGTCCCCTATGCCAGCACCCAATACAAGGCCAACTTTTATGCGGATGATGCCCTTTTGGTTTTAACCAATCCTCTCATCACTCTCCCCAATCAGCAGGTCATATTGGACCATTTTTCGACTATATCTGGCCTTCGCATCATTTGTCTAAACCACGGCATTGAATATTACGCTCCCTGCCTACCTGGTTGAACAGTTGCAGACACAATTTCCCTACCATTGGGCATCCCATTCCCTGGCTTATCTTGGCGTTACACTTACTTCCTCCTACTCTGCCTTATTTTCAGCTAATTATTACCCCTTATTGCGCTCTGTTACTTCCCTGCTTCATTCTTGGCAGTTTCCTTCTTTATCATGGATTGGCCGGATGCATGCTGTCAAGATGACTATCTTGCCGAACATCCTGTACTTTTTCCGCACTCTCCCTATTCAGGTCCCTGCGTCTTTTCTTTGTGTATTGCAAAGCCGGATTCTCATTTTTTTTTTGGGGCTCATAAACGTCCCAGAGTGCCTAGAGCCACTCTGTATACTCATAGATTACAGGGAGGTTTGGGAGTTCCACATGTTTCTAGATACTACTTGGCGGCTCAGATTTCCCAGTTGTCTATGCTTCATGCCACGACAGATATCCCGGTATGGGTACTCTTGGAATTACCCAATTGTGCTCCACTTTTCTTAACTACATTCCTTTGGCTCCCGCCTAAGTTGCGTCCTCCGGATTTGAGCCCTATTATGCTTCACAGTTTACAAACCTGGGATTCTGTAAAATATTCGGGTAATTTGATTTCATAATTTCTACGTCTTTTGCCAATTACGCATAGTCCTTTATTTTCCCCAGGCCTAGAACATCCCCCTTCTTTTCTCTTGGTGGACCTCCCATGGCTTTGTTATTGTACATGATTTTCTGAGCATTTCCATCATGGGAGTCTCTTAGAGAATCAAGGCGGGTCCCACCACGGGAATATTATCGGTATTTACAATTACACCACTGGGTCCTATCCCTCCATCGTACCTCTACATACCCTTACCGCAAAACACCTTTTGAGCACGTCTGTCATCATTCCCCAGGGTCCCCTGGTCTCATTTCTGTAATTTATGCCTCCTTTAACAGTAGGTCCTCTTCACCACCCCTTTCTTTATGTCTCTCAATGGGAGCGAGATCTGGGTGTCTCGATTGTGGTGGAGGATTGGCGTAGGGCCTGGGGGATGGTGGCGAAATGTTCATTCAATACAGTCACTCTTGAGGCAGCCTACAAAGTTCTCCTGCGGTGGTACTGGGTCCCGACGCGGACTGCTCACTTAAATCCGACTGGCAGAGATAGGTGTTTCCGGAACTGTGGTCTACAAGGGGACGTCTTGCACACTTGGTGGTCGTGCCCACGATTGATAGGCTTCTGGTCTAGGGTTTTTGGTTTGCTACAAACGCTATTTCATATTACGGTCCGTAGGGTGGCCCTTCTGCATTGCCCAATTTTGGGTCTGTCTAGGTCTCAGCAGAAATTGGCATCCTACCTATTTATTTCAGCCAAACGTGCTATAGCTCAAGCTTGGAGAACCCCTTTGGTTGTCTTCCAGGGGGTGAAGACCCGGATGAATGCTATGTTAATTAACGAACAGATGTCTAGCATTCTTCATGCTTCTCATCCGAGATTCCTTAAGGTTTGGGAACCTTGGATACGTTATTCCTTTCCATCTCTGCCTCCTACTAGTTATGGCCTCTTATAGTCGCTGCCTGTGCTAGCCCTGGATCCATGATTCTTCCAGTTTCTCTTTCCTCAATGTTTTTTTTTTTTTCTGATTCCTTTTTTTTTTTTTTTTTGTTTTATGTTCTTTATCCTTTCTTCTAACCTTTTTCTCTTTTTCTCTTCTTTTTCCGGTACTATGTTGGATTACTGCTGCTATTATTTGGTTCGGCTTATTGCTGTCCCTCCTTGATGCCATTGGACATTTCGTTATTTAGTTAATACACGTCACGAGGATGTATCTGTTTATGTGTTATTGTTCTGCTCTGCCCCTGCGTGGGCGTATCTTGAGCTTGTTATATTCCTAAAACAAAACTTTCTTAAAAAAAAAATATTGAAACAGAAATTTGAATTTTGACGTCTATATTCCTTTAATTTTATTCTATTCTAATCTATTCTGTTTTTTTTTTTTTATTCTAATCTATTCTATTCTTTTATTTTATATTCAATTATATTCTTTTCTAATCTATTCTATTATATTTTATTCTATTATTTTCTAAAGATGGGTATATTCTGTATATTCTATTCTATTCTCTTCTATTTTTTTTATTATATTCTGTTCTTTTATTTTCTATTCTATTCTTTTCTATTCTATACATTTTTCTTTCTATTCATTTCTTTTCTTTTATTATGTTCCATTCTCTCCTATTTTATCCTATTCTATTTTCCAAATTTGAATTTCAGAGGATGGCTATATTCTTTCTATTTTTTTCTATTCTATTCAAAAACTTCAGAAGACAGCAATATTGTTTCTACTCTATTCTATTCTTTCTATTTTATTCTGTACTGTTCTGTTCTATCCCCTTATTTTCTATTATATTCTTTTATTTTCCATTCTGTTCTTTTGTTTTCTATTCTATTCTATTATTTTTAACATTTGAATTTTCAGAAGACTTTTATATTCTTTCTATTTTATTCTATTCTACTCTTTAATATCCTATTTCTTTATATTCTATTCTATTATTTTCTATTTTATTCTATTCTGTTTTATTCTATTCTATTCTTTTTGAAATTCAAATTTCAGAAGACAGCTATTTTTTAATAAACACAGTCTTTGAAGGAAATGAGCAATTCAATTAAAACTTTGTTTTATTATTTTGGATTCGTTTAAATTTGCTACTGTTGTAATTCAGAAATTCAGATACATCTGAATAATGAATATTTTGTCCGAATTTCAATTCATGCGGAATGAAATTAACCTTACATGTCTACTAATAAAGCATTTCTCAAAATTCTGTGTCTTCACATATATCCCCAATAGAAAAGAAAATGATATATACTGTATAGTGTAGTATGTTCTTAACCAATAAAAATATAATATTTGAAATGTACTTATATGTGTAAGTGAAACCTTGGCATACACTGCCTCGTGACTTGTGCCTTCTTCACACCCCCACTTGCTTACATCCTCACCAGATTCAGATCTTTTACAACTTATATCAAAATATGAATTCCTCTTATGATCTCACGATTGATCGTATGTACTCTTTAAGCATATGCATACACAATATGAGTTGTTAAAGA